GAAGGCTGGATCACCTCCGTGGAATGTCTTCGGGCGCCAAGCGACTGGTGCAGTCGCTTAGGGGCCGGAGCGCGGGGAGGGGCGCCGGCGGCGGTCGTTCCGACGCCGGTGCCGGGGACGACAGCGGCGTCGGCGGCGGCGGCGGGGCCAGCACCAGCGCGACGAGACTGTGCCACTACGACAGTGGCCACGAGCTCGATGAGATCTCGGTGATCGGGGCTAACGTGAGGAGCGAGGGGCTGACGACGCCCACCACACCGTGCCACTGCAGGAGCATCAAATACGGCAGCGGACAAACGCTTTGCAGCATCCCCGGATTACCTGCACCCACCGCATCCGCGCACAGAGCACAGTCCGGTGAGTACGATCGCTATCTCTTTAACGTGTTACATCGCCGGCAACCCACGGCTGCTCACGGCAACCGGTGAACTTTGTTTCGGGAATGGATCGCGTGCCGTTTCGCAAGGTGCACGTACATGCGGTCTGACAATTCGACTGCACCGACACAAGGTATTCCTATTCTAACTGCGAAATTAACTTTTCGCGGGGATACTCTTCTTATCGAACGTGTTTTCTCTTGATTTTTTTTAAATAACAATCAAATATTAAATAAAAATATATGAAGATATATTAATCAAATTTATAATAATTTTCTTGGTCAACAGAAAACATTGTGTTGATAAATTAGCAAACACTTATAACTGAAAATAAGATCGTAATTTTTTTTCTATTAATTAACTGCAGAATAAAATTTATAATTCGAATATAATTCATCTAATTCAATATTACGTTTTTCAATGTAGAATGGAACAAAATGGAAACTGCGGATTTGGAAACTATTCAGCATTAACACTGTAACTCCGACTTTAATACAATAACTGCAATGGAGGATTTGCATTCTAACTTGGATAAAATCCAAACTTGTAAATTTTATCGTTTTTAGAGCTTACTTGATTAATGCATTCCTATCCGCTTTTTTGAAATATTTCCGCTTTCTTTTCACATCTTGATAGCAACATCTCTAGTTATCAAAGAAAAGTACAGAAATGTATGCGTACGCACTACTGTGTCTTTATCATGCTTATCTTGATTTCTATTTCCAAACGGAACAAAAGAAATGTCAATAACATCGTAATATATCGCCAAAAAATATATATCATTGATTAAAGGATCAAATCGAGTTGAATGGATCGTATTTCAAAATTTTTCAAAAGTGCACGCGAGATTTATAAGCTGACCTCCTATTCCGTATAACTCGAGATTTTATTCCCAAAGTCATACGAAACATGAGTTTGAGGATAACGTCTAAAGTTATGCGAACAGACTATGATATAAAGCTATCCGTTTTTGATTCAACGAGTTGGATCGCTTCTAGTCTCAATCGGTCGCCGGTCGCAAGCGAAAAGTTATGTAACGGCGCGCGTTGCAAACGTAAGCAGCAAAAAATAAACTAGATAAACGGAGCAGAAAAGCCGTTAATTTTTATTACCGTTCGCAATACTTTCTAGCGCATCTTCGAACAATCGCAAAAGTCGTTGATTCGTACACGGCACACTCGCGTGCGCATCCTCGACCACTGCAATGCAATCTGCATCCGCGCGACGCAGTATTTATTGATACGACGCAAAACTTGTCTCACGATGTTTCGTTAGCGCATAAACCAGGCCGGATTTCTCGTGCAAAGCGCAGCTTTCCTGCTTTTCAATCTCGGCGCGTAGCTTATTACGCTCCATAAGCAACCATAAATTCTCGTTCGCGTCTCTAAAGAAGACGCGGGGGTTTTCACTTTAGGAACGCGCATCCGCTTTATACCCATCCTCGCGAGCGCTTTCTTAATCTTTCCGTTTTGCGAAAAGCAGCACGCCGACTGAGCGCTTTCCTCGAGCGTTTTCTAACAGACGAGTGCGAACCTCTCCCCGCATTTCTCCGGCGGTTTTTATCGCGACCACACGTCTCCAATTCCTGTCGGCAGGAGATCGTACGGCGACTCTCACATAAACGATAACTACGTCTCAACTGTGACAGTACTCTTTATCCCCTGACATCCATAAAAGGGCAAAACGCCGGTCGTGTTATCTGGCACGAAATTGCGTCTCTTGATCATGGGATATGCTCAAGTATTAAATGGCAAATATACTGACTTTCCTGTTCTATTATTGCGAAACTATGTTCAAAACGAACTAGATATTTATCAAAGCGCAGCATGGGGAAGCCTTGATAAGGCATGGTCCCTCAGCGCGACTCCGTTTCAACTATATTAATCTTTTCTACTTGCTACGTGCACGCGAGTCTCTGTATTTCATATTTCGATTGCGCGATCCTTCATAATTGTCAACTGATATTTACTAAACATTGAGTACCTCAATCAAGCTAAATGCAGAAATAAAAAAGTTTTTATTGTGTAATTAAAATATTGTAAAAATAGAAGAAACGAAGCGTATTGCAAATATCCGCGCACAAAAGAAATACGTATATTTTAAAGAAAAATTTAAAAATTAGTAGGTAATTGCGATGTGACATAAACGCAAAAAATTAATTATAAAAGATTGTATATATATTTGCTGTTTTATCCCGTCCGTCAGTGTAAAGAGCGAAAAATTTTGTATTAAACATATCTTTAGAATCTTAAAACTTCGTAATACGAGCTTAGTAGAGCGGAAAATGCTTCAGGCCTTTAATCTTACGACACAGCCTGGTTTTCGATCAACTTTGGCGCCATTAGCGGGAATAGCGGCTTACGAGGGTTTCTACAACGTGCACTTTGATTTACTTAAAGCACCTAAAAATACGGAAGCTGTAATTCGAAATTCGATATTGACGCTTGGACCGTGAGATTAAAATGCAAGTTTGATAGTGTCGAAGATCGCTAAAAATATTAACGTTGAACGCAGCTATTATCTGGGAAGCATGATATTACGAAAGGAAGAAGCGGTTACTCTCGTATCCTTGCAGGATATATTGCGGAGAACCAATATAAAATTAAGATCGCCGTTAAACGGCATGACAATACGTGATTATCGGCGACGCAAACTTTGAACATGGTTTGATCGCAGTGAACTTTCACGCAATATCGCCGCGATCGTAAACGCGCAGAAAATCTTCACCTTCCCTCGCATCTCGCTACGCCATTGATAATACGGAGGATGGAACGGAGGATGATAATACTAATCCGCTAATCGACAGTCGGCCCTGGCATGGGTAGCAATGTCGATGGTATCGCTGAAAATTTACGAGCAACGGATTTCGATAATGGCCGATCCGATTCGCAGACATCTCCATTCTCTTGACCTAATTACGATACGCGAGAGATCGATAAAAACCGCTATTGGGAAGAAGTACTTTTCCGACGGCCTTTTGTTAAGCGAAACCTCACGAGCAGATCATGCAAGTTAAAACACGAGAAGCTCGGCTCCGATACTGCCCGCTGACGGAAACGTGTATTTGAAATTATCATAATGAATGTTTCAAGTTAAAGTGTCGATCGCGAAGAGCTCAAGTATCTCTATATGTCGATATAGAGCCGATATCGTAATATTTCAACGAGAATGGGATCAGATAGGAGAGGATTGAAGATCCGATCCATTAGTTTTAGCTTTAGAGAGATGTCTCCATCACATCTGCTTGAAAAATCTTGTTAAAAAGTCTTTATAATGTCTCACTTGTCAAACGATAATTTTAAATTCGGTTTACATATTTTATAATCGACCTTCTCGATAAAATAATTCTAAATCGGTTATATTTAATTTTGTAAAATATTAATATGTAACATTCAAGATACCGATTTTCTTAAATAAATGGTTTTTATATTGTAATATTGTTATCATTCCTCTTTATCTTTTTACTCCTTCTTTCTCTAACAACATAAATTTCATTAGATGCTTGCTTTGAAGTGCGTCGATTTTTTTTTTAGTAAACAGTGCACTTTGCTAAATATATTTATAATAAGTTAAACATATTGTATTATTACTATTTTTAAACAAGCCTTAAAACTTTTAATCAAGATAAGAATAATTCCAAGAAAAATGATCTCTGAAGAAGAACAGCACTCGTTTGATCGAAACGTCAAAGCGATAGACAGCGTAATCTTCAACGTCACTATATAATTCCCCCTTTTTTTCCTCCCATAAAACTATAAAATGATAAGGGATAGAAAGTTCACTAACGGAAGGTTGATTAACTGAAAAGTTGTCGGCGCAACTCGCGCTGCAACAGCGCGATACACCCCCTCTGTCAAGGTCCGCGACAGCTTTTTTACCCCATCCGCTAACTTTTCCCGCTCTGTCGAGTCCGCAAAATGTCGTTTAGATTGTGTGTTGCTCGCGATACTGCGACTCGTGTCCGAAAATTTCGCCACTGGCAACAAAAACGGGTAACTCCGATCGCGGAAATTTGCGTTGTCGACTACCGCCGGCGCGAAAAAAGAAGCGAGTACACGAAGACGTTACTTTCGTCCGTGCTCGAACGGGGAATTCGGTCGAATGCATGCACACACGGCCGCCGTGCACATACGCGCGTTTACTCGCGCGAGAATCGCGCCGGTAACAACTCTCTCTCAGCGAAGCGGAGTTATGTGTTTGCGACGTGTCTAGCGGCAAATAGGCGAGCAAGTTTAGACTCGTTCCGATGCAGTTTCGCAGAAACACGAACGGCATTGTGTCGGCGACGTTAAGCCGTCCCCACATGCGGATATTGCTGCTCGCTTCGCGGTTGGCCGCTTCGCCGCCGAGACGGCTGTCGTTTCGCTAGATACACACACGCTGAAGAAGAATAGTAAATTCAATCCAACAATTTCCGGCAGGCTGGAAGATTTAAATTCTGCGGTTTAGGACGCGAAAGTTGTATTATAGCAATTTGAACTCCGATAGTTCGTCACAAAATCGTATTATGCCAAGCTTACGATATTTTATCTCTTTAAAAATGTTGCACTATCGCAAAGAATTTAATTGTATTATATTTTACTCGTGCACACACAGCGGACAAAAAACAACTAAACGTACTAGTGTCATGGCGAGTAGATTACAGTGTCTCGTTGCAAATGCTCTTCCACAAGTTTCTCTGCTACGTAGAAAATTACGGAAAGTGGATGTAAACATCGCGCATGTTTTTGCGAAACCTGATAAAACAGGTATATAGCGGAATACGTTTTCGTTATCACATACTTTTGTTACGTACATACTGCAGCACTATGACTTTTCGTTCCGGTAAAACAGCGAGTTTAAGCTGATTCTCTATGGACGCGCTATCGAAAAAAAGTGTAGTTTACGCGTCTGAATGTATATACATAATACAATGCGTCTCGCGAGAATTACCGCTGCGCGGATCCTGATAAGGGGAAAGAACACTTCTCCCTGCAATTT